GGGGGGGGGCTTAAAGTGCCCGCGGCAACTTTGATGTCACCTAGCGTCTGAACGGCTAAAGCTAGAACCGCCAATTTGGTGACTTTTCCTAAAATATTGTTGGCAACAAATCTGTATCAGTGGAATAAGATTATGATTTTTCTTGTTGCCATGGCAACGGGTTTCTGACAGGCATTTTTTGGCAAATTTAATTATTTCCATTTAAACAACAGAATTTTATGGGTTTTATGTCAGGTTACACATTGTTTCTAACATTAATAACATCACATATAATTATATGTAAATTTTATCATTAAAAATGCATAATTTATGCTAATTTGATGGCGTCATTGGCCAAAATCCAAGATGGCGGACCATATCATTAGATCAGGTAAATGCAGCTTATTTTCCTTAAAATTTCATCAATACTCCCATTTTTTTTACAAAAAAGGTTACATATGAATGTCTTTAGTCTGTTTACAATGTATTTTAGGCTTCATCCTGAAAAAAAAACTATTTTTCAAAATTCAAGATTGATGATCCAAGATGGCGGATATGTAATATATGCATGACGTCATTTTATGACGTCACCGGTGTTGCTATGGGCAACATAAGACTTAGTACATCCTAATATTCTGTCATAAACACTTTTGGTAAAGTTATGTCGTATACTGTTTAGTTTTCAGGGAATAACCTATCTAGACGGTTTTGGCCAATAAAATCACATTAATGACGTCATACTGACGTCATATTACGTCACAACGACATAAAAATTGTACGTATGATAAATTTTTACTAGTACATCATCCTCTGAAAATTTGGTGGTCCTACGATATACCGTTCTCGAGTTTTGAGGGGGGGGCCGAATGAGCCCCCCCCCGGTCCCACCAAGCCCAAAAAGCCCGGTCTAGATAGGGTTAAAAGGCCTAAGGTCAAGCTACTAGGCATAAGGTCAAGCTACTAGGCCTAAGGTAAAGCTACAAGGCCTAAGGTCAAGCTACTAGGCCTAAGGTCAGACCGTAACTAAACTATCATTAAGACAAAATAAACAGAACGAAACTCACCAAGGTAAGACTTGGTGGCAGGACGGCTCTTCGGTGACTGATTCAAAAGAACAACATGTAAACATGTATGTATAGCACACACAGTAAACACAGAGTTGCACTGAACTGAATCACTGCATGAAAACTACTCCAGCTACTAGGCCTAAGGTCAAGCTACTAGGCCTAAGGTCAAGCTACTAGGCCTAAGGTCAAGCTACAAGGCCTAAGGTCAAGCTACTAGGCATAAGGTCAAGCTACAAGGCCTAAGGTCAAGCTACAAGACCTATGGTCAAGCTACAAGGCCTAAGGTCAAGCTACTAGGCCTAAGGTCAAGCTACAAGGCCTATGGTCAAGCTACAAGGCCTATGGTCAAGCTACTAGGCCTAAGGTCAAGCTACAAGGCCTAAGGTCAAGCTACTAGGCCTAAGGTCAAGCTACAAGGCCTAAGGTCAAGCTACAAGGCCTAAGGTCAAGCTACTAGGCCTAAGGTCAAGCTACAAGGCCTATGGTCAAGCTACAAGGCCTATGGTCAAGCTACTAGGCCTAAGGTCAAGCTACTAGGCATAAGGTCAAGCTACTAGGCCTATGGTCAAGCTACAAGGCCTAAGGTCAAGCTGCAAAGCCTCTGGTCAAGCTACAAGGCCTAAGGTCAAGCTACAAGGCCTAAGGTCAAGCTACAAGGCATAAGGTCAAGCTACAAGGCATAATGCAAGCTACTGACTATAAACGTTATACATTTGCCTTGCAAATTTTACCTTTTTTTTAGAATTCCTAATTTCTAGTAATAACCTCCATGAAAAATGGAGGTATTGTTTTTGGCGCGTCTGTGTGTGTGTCTGTCTGTCTCTCTGTCTGTGTGTGTGTTTGTGTTTCCGCACATTTGTAGTCAGCATAACTCCATAACGCCTTTATGGATTGTGATAATATTTGGTATGCTAGTAGGTCTTAGGAAGCCAAAGGTCAAGGGCAAATATGGGCTTCCTAGTGGATGACCTTGGTACTGCAGCAGAACTTCCGGTTTTTGTATCTTTTGTCCTGAACATGCTATGGTATTGATTTTTTGGTGGCAGATAGATTTTTCTGTCAGGAATAAGTGGTGTGGGTTTGGTCCCCCTAGCAGCTTGTTCTGGAACTGCAGGGCACTTTCGGGTGAAATCTTTAAAACCCAATAAGTCCAGATAGGAACAACATATTTTTGGTAGGTAGGTAGCTGAGAGAGAGCTGTACATAATTAAATGCAAACTATGCAAATGAGGACTTTATTTGCATAGTTAATGAGGAAATTCTATAATTACAGTGTTTTACATTATAATACCTTTACACCTGTAATGTATATAATCTATGGCAGATGGAACATCACCAGATACCAATTATGCAAATTATGATCTAATTTGCATACTTAATGCGAAAATTATATGACTCCTTAGTGGTTAATGATGGGAATTCCATACTTGTTCTGGAAAGAACTTAAAAGGCATAACGTTACATGATGCAATACGTGTTAACTGTGGCGCCGGCCGTGCGTAGAAGGCATGCATATTTAATTCGAGCTTTTCCATTTGAAGTTTCAGACGGGAATATTTGTCTCCAACCTACCCCAAATCGGGGGCGCGAACTCTAATCGGGATGCGTACTTACGAATTTACGGTAACAAAAAATGAATACCAAAACATGTAGGTCTAAACCTAGCACTTTTATCACTTTTTAGTAACTGCTAAACGCCGGTTCTTGTTCAGCAGGCCATGGAGAAAAGTACAATAAATAATGTATGAAATGTATCTATACATTTATGGCATCTAATTTCGTTAATGACAATGACTCTTAATTAAGGTAAACCTGGACGCAAAAAAAGACAGGTCAGATTAGTAGAGATAATGACACCGGTGTGCGCATCCACACCCAAATTATGGACAGGGACGTTAACCCAACCCACCGGGACCTAAACCAAGACAATAGGGAGGTACGGGTAGCTTTAACTGCATTGTTCTAGGTCTGAGCAACTTCTCTTGCGACTACCATAAGATTGAATATTGTAAGAAGGGTATATTACAGAAGATACACATTTGACGCTGCTTTTTTCTTCTTCTTTCCATACAATATTGGCTTGCAGTTGCATGTCTTAATTTTGTACAGTTCATGAATGGGACACAGCAGGTATGCATGGCATTTAAATCAAGTGGAAGAATTTCTTCCTCCCAGCTAGTCTGTTTTTTTTTTCAAACAATGTGTCTGATATAGGACCACTTTTTTATATTTGATCTACACGACTCACCTTTATGACTTGCATGTCATGCTCACATACTTGCCACAAATATATATATATGAATATTTAAAAAAGAAATCGGAGATTCCAAACCTCTGGGAGGTGTATAAGTAACGCATAATGCCCACAACAAATCCAGACATAACATTAACATTATGTTACCCACATTGCCACAGCAAGTAATTTCTATTGGATGACATCAGCGCGCGAATTAATATTCGCCTAGTTTTTGAAGAAAAAAAGGAAATCTTGTTAATTAACCAACATCAAACGAAATGAGCGGTAATTTTTTTCAGACACATAACTACATTTTCCCTAGGTCAGGTCCGAGTTGTACTTTCGGTACCTATTTTATCGCTCGGCGAATACCATCGTTACCTTGTCGGTGGGCCCTTTTATTTGGCCATTGGAGGTTTTAATCAGATCGCAACACCATTAATATTATGACATCCAAGCGCTATGATATAATTGAAAAACTATGTAAATTTGTTCATACATGTTTCAAAAAGAGAGAAGAGATCCTGTAGTTAGATCCTGTAGATAGAGAAATAGCACACATGTAATGTAACAATGGAACAATGGATTCTTCTATTCTTGTTACCAAGTTATTTAACTTAAGTGCATTTGGCCCGTGTAGGGCGTGAACATGCAATAAAGTTCATTGTCATTGTCATTGTCATTGTCATTGTCATTGTCATTAATGGTAACGTCAGGACATCTAGTTTTCTGATCTTGTTAGAGGGGCAAGGCCCCCAACATGCCTACTCCTTTCTGGCTACTCCTTGTAAGAAGGCACCAGAAAGAGAGACATAAATATAACAATCTAATGCAAAACATTGTTCTACATGCATAAGTAATAAAGTGGCGTTTAAAACACGCCTCGGCGACGTGATTCACTTTTGATGTGAGTGATGATCATGGTTATTGTTAATGGAGATGCTTGTTTTAGTACGTGAGCCAGTCATAAGTTTCTCACGAGGATTTACTAACAAATATACTCTTAACTTGAGAGATATTTTTCCATTTCCTCATGAATTATGCAAATTAGGACCAGGTTTGAATAAATTGTGTTTAGTGATCTTCACCTTTACTGAACTATGGCAACGAAGTATGATAAATACTAAATTCCCGGCAATTACCACTATCACATTGTATAGTTATGAGAGCTAGCGGACGAGCTTTCACGTATCCTGGATGAAGATTTTTCACGGACTTGATAATATGTGTTTGTGCAGCCACGTCATCTTGGCAAATCAGAGCGCGTTACGCCGTGTAAAATGGTAAACATTACCTTGATTTCATTTTATTGACGACACGTTCACAACACACATTTTTGAACCACTCAATGGTCTGGAGGTCGTGCAAGGCACGGCCCCATTACTGGAAAGTTCGGTGTTTCTCGGTGAGAGTAACTCACGAAATTTCTGTGGGTGAATATTCACCAAAAAGTTTCCACAAGTCAGTAGTGCGTAGAAACGTTCCGCCAATAAAGAATTGCTCTGTAAAAAGGCAGTGTTTTGAACTTGATATGTCTACGTTAAATTGCCAAAGAAGAGTTTGTAACTACATGTAAAACCGGTATCTCAGGCTAACTAATGCATGTATCATAAACCACCCATTGTACGTGTATATATATATATACGAAGTGTTACGGGCCCTGTCACAGTTCTTCATGACCCCTTTGACGTATGGCCTGTGTATAGTTGTGCATATCACCCGAGGGAATTAAAATAGTGTAATATTCGACCATCTGATTGAAGTGGACATAAAAGAGCATCTGCTGAAAGGCTATCACATGGCTCATTCTGGCGCATTCTAAGCCTCTACCAGGCTTCGGGAAGCGGCTGTAAAGAGTAGAATTTGACCAAATAAAAAGATTACATGCCAGTTGAGTTGTTTCGCTAGAGGGGATTGCTGCTGCAAGAACTTTAATCTTGGTATAAGAATTATTTTCTTGAGGAAAGAAAGGGTTTTCCTGCCATGCAACATGCATTGGAAAACCCATTAAAACTTATCCTGCTGCAAGAAACTTAATCGTATTGCGAGAATATTATTCTAGCTTCAAGAAGCCTTTTTAATGTTTTGCTTCAATCTTGGTATGAGAACCGTAGTCTAGGTACAAGAAATGCTATTAAGGAAAGAGTTTCAAGAAACTGATACTACAAAAGCTAAAAGATTCTTCGTGTAAGAACCCGAAATGCTTGCCACAAGAATGATACTCCTAAAATATTGGTTAATTAGCTGTAGGAAAAATTCTTAGAATAAGAACAACGTGGGTTTCTTGAATTTTCTTGAAACGGAGATTCTTGTTGAAAGAATAACATTCTTGCTGACAGAAAAATTTCCTTTGCACAAGGAAAAACAAGAACATTTTGGTAGTGTCTAGTTTGCCACACATATATCTCTATTTGGCCCAACTCGCTCTATTTGGCGCTATAATTTTTCCAGCCTGGTAAAGACTAATATAACCTCGGTCGGCAGGTGTGTCGTGGCCTTTCGAGTGGTAAATATGTGCGTCGTGGCCGCCGTGTAAACTGGTAGACTACTCTAGAATTCCTTCCAACATTTTAGGTTCTTATTCTTTTGGAGTGGTTGCAAAAGTGATTAAAGTGAAGATCCTAGAGACCAAACAAATTATAAGAGCGTCAAGGTGTTGAAACAGCAACTCACCAGCTGAGAATTTCAAGGATTCAACGTCTCCATCAGAACATGCAGCATCAACAGACTGAAGTAGCCATTTTCTTCCCTTATTTTGACAGGGCCATTATGTACCATTTTTGCACCAAAAATTGAAATATTTCAAATGAAAGAAATCACTTTTTGACGTACGTGTGTATTTGTACAGTTTCTGCTCTGGAATTCGGACACCAAAGGAAAAAGGCAAGGAATTTGAATGACGGACACTTTGAAAAGACTGACCAACTACGGAAGAGGGGATTCAGTAAGTGGTACTCAAAGCCCTTACCCGTTCCTTTGTTTAAAAAACGGCGGAAGAAAATATTGGCAACATCAGTCTGTTGATGTTGTTGTCGTGGTGACGTTCGGTTCTTAAATTCTCAGGTGGAACAAGTTGTTTTCAACAACTTGACTTTACTCCGTGCGTTTATACCAGCTGGCAAACACGGTAATCATTGTTATTGATTGTACACACGGTTGTCACGGCCCCAACATTTTTACTCCTCAAAGGGCCACGACACATGAGCCGATCAAAGACAATACACATATAGTTTAGAACGTGCCTCACTTTATAGTAGAGTGGATATATTTACCTATTTGTACACAATAAGGGTTATTACCTTCTAGAATGAAATTAAATTTATCTATAGCATGAAATGTCACGAATTCTGTTGAGCAAGCGGAGAGAAGGTTGAACAGCTTTGCGCGTTTATCGTTATATAGTGTACAATTCAAAATAAAATGTTGTTCGTCTTCAATATCATTGGGACAGAATGGACAAAACCTCTGGTCGCGAGGGATTTTTCGTATCTTCCTAATTCTTTATTCAATTTATGGCTAGAAATTCTCATCTTTGTAATCGATCTACGAACTTCAAAATTATGTATTTCAGAAAGGTAATTTTCTTATATATGACAGGGCATTGTCGCAAAAGGGACATACCCACAAGCGGATTGCTGATAAGTAGGTCAGGGCTTGACCGCAGCTGACCGTTCTATATATGGCAGCATGATGCAATCTCCTGGACTTCCCTCACTGTCGACTCAGCAATTGTCATTTGAATATTTTATTATATTAACGTGGTATGTGAAGTTTTAAC